AAAAAATTCTATCATGGGTTACAAAAAAAAAAAAACAAAAAATTCGATCATGGATTACAAAAAAATCGATCAAGTATTACAAAAAATCGATCAAGTATTACAAAAAAATCTATCATGGATTAAAAAAAAAAAAAAAAAAAAAAAAAAAAAAAAAAAAAAAAAAAAATTAAACCTTGCGGTACTCGCTGATTCCGTACAGTGATTCGACGAGTCACTGTGCAGAATCGTCCCGTTCTCTCTAGAACCGGACGATTCCCGTTTTTTTCGCCGATTCGATCCGTCCATGGCGATTCCCGAGTCGAACCGGCGCGAGTCCGGTTCGACTCGGCGTTTTTTTAAACAGTGGTTGGGACATAAAATAAAGTACGGTAAAACATGCATGCCTATAAATTCACAGAACAATGCAGATCATGCAAATACATCCCATAATAATAATAAAGGACATGCCAGGGAGGAACCTCGAAAATGACCACATTGCCTACATTCACGAGGACCAAGTAACCCGTACTCTAACTAGGATCTAGTTCCCATAAAACAATCAAATTAGGCTTCAAGTACTGATTAGGGAGATAGCCCCCATTTCCCTGATGCTAATACTGCAACTTTGTTCTCACTATTGCCTTCTATTCCCTGTGCACATACCACAAACATCTAACACAAACCCTAAAGCACCAAATGGATAATGTTCATTGATGTGATCCTCCCTCACAAGGCTACATTATCCCCTCCAAATCCCCCAAAAGATTTATATTGATCAACACCTGAAGAGAATCCAACCTTCGAAAGGAATCCGCAAGCCAAGAAGAGATGAGGACAATCAGAGATTCATGGTGCAACACACAAGATTCTGAAAAAGATTGAAAGAACAACATAATCCCCTTTGCACATTTACAGTGTCCTTTGCCTCTACACATATCACAGAGTCCTCACTCTGATTATTATTGTGCAAAAGGATCACATCTCATATTGCCAAACCATCCACATTCTGCCACACATAAGCAGCACACATCCTCCAAACAAGACTCCTGTCAATCTATCCCTTTCCTGTTGATGCTAGAAATGCAAAAACAAAATATAGAATCCCATTCTCAGAAATGCAAAAATAAACTATAGAGACCCATTCTCCCTAAACCTATCCATTAAAATTTCAAATCAATCTGAAACCTAAGCTATCTTTTTTTTTTGATATGTATCTGAAACCTAAGCTATCATGTACAGTACTGTCCCAAACAACCGCAAAAATCTAAGACCAAGACAATCATCCATACACCCATAGTTACGAAAACCTCTACCTTGTTACAATCACTGACCTTGTCCCCCTCCTAAAGTCCAACTCTACTCCTCTAATATAGCCCCACTCGCTTAGCCTTATATTAATAAGGGTCACATCTCATAGTGCCGAAACCACAAGAATTCTGCTACCCATCGGAAGCACACATCCTCCAAAAAGGCAATCTATTCCTTTCCTATCCCTGCTAGAAGTGCAAAATAAACTCTAGAACCACATCATCCATGAATAATACCTAAACAAAGAGCATAAATAGAATCTAAACAGAAACCCCTATCTATTAACATTTCAAATTATCCCCAAACCAACAGTTGCATGCAAAACCTTTACCTTTTTACAACCCCCAAGCTTGTCCCCCTCTAAAATCTAGTTGTACTCCACCAGTATAGCCCACAGTTGGTTACCCCCATAATCTCATATCCCTGCCTCAGGCTTTCTCTATCATTCATAACTCAGAAATGCCAGGCCATCAAAGTAAGTCATTAAACTTCTTTACTATCTTGATCCCAACAACCATCATCTTTCAATTTAAATCAAGGATAAAGTCATTAAACTTCTTTATTATCATGATCCCAACAACCGTCATCTTTCAATATAAATCAAGGATAAAACCAAATCAACTTAAGAATCGGTCTCCTTGTGTCTAGAAAGTAACTAGCACTGTAACTTATCCAACTAGTCCCCCACCAACAGAGGAATCTAGAATAGACCATCTAGAAGACAGCACTTGTAGTAATAACCCAAAGAATTGATCTGACAAAGGAAAAAAGCCATCCCTTCTGAGGCTTGCCAAAACACATAAGTAATCCTTGCTTATATGCTTGCAATGAGACCTGCTCCCCAACACAACCTTCATACAATGATCATGAAAATTGCAAAGTCCATCCAAACATATATCACATTACTTTTCCCAACATCAGTTTATAAAGCTAAATTGTCGGCCTCCTCATCTTAAGCATCGCATAAAATCAATATATCATTATCAAACAAAAGGTGGAGCACGCCCAATATGATAGCAAATTCTTCACTGAATCCATAACCAATCATCAATGCCGTCATCTGAAGGAAGCCACTGACGAAAAATTATAGAAGGGAAGGGAACGCCTATCAAAGTTCTCAAGCCACAAGAAATATTACAAAGACAGTGGACAAAATAGAAAAATAAGGCCAATGTCCTGCTCTCCATCGCTGTCTATGATCCAACCTATCAGGCATAGAGAAGTGACCACATATCTTAAATCCATATTCGCTGTGTCTTTAGTCCTTGCACTCATGCATCATCCAAGATCTGTTCCATCCGAACAGAGAACCATGATAGGTTGCCATACGAACATCCTTCATATAAAAAACAGATAAGAAATTAATGAACATTTGCACAGACTGTAAACTATGGTGGTTGTCAACTCCCCTGACAAATATTTATTGTAAGAATCATAAACATATCATCCATGTCCTGATTAACCTTCGTCAGGTAATATTTTCATGAATCCTTTCAGGTCTCAACTACCTGCAACTAGTTCCACAGTAGATCCATCAACATAAGGCTATTTGATTACAACCTGCATATGTAAAAGTGGACAACCGAAATAGCATATCGAACCAGCGGGCATATAATACACCTTGAAGGTTCCTCTGCAAAAAAATTAGGAAAATGAAATGCCCAAGGATTAAGGATGTCTCATGGCATCTGGTTCATCCCGGAGTATATAAATTTCCCTCGTAAGAATTGTAGAAGAAATGTGTCAACAAAACTCATTCTAGATAAAATAATAGTAGGGTTAACCTTTGAGTAAATAAGATTCTAAGAACTAAATCTGTCAACAATAGAACTCTTTAAAAAGGTCAAAAGGTATATTAAAATGTTTTGGAGCCTTTCAGGATCACAATAATGTGTCAAATGTATAAAGACCCCTTCCTGGGCCTAGCAACTCTGAAAAAAATTTGAATTATAATCTGGATAATTGAAGAATTAACCCATCATACCAGCTTGATCTATAATGCATATTTCAAAAAACATTGGGGTCATACATGGTTCCTTTACCATTTACAAAATAGACCGACGTGATTAAGTTCTTCAAGTAGTTGTTTTCACCAACCCCAAAACAATCACAATAAGATATAGAAACTAAAAGTAAATGTTTAGAGAATAGCACGGAAGATTGATTAACAAAAGTTATAGCTTATCCAACACAACTGAAATGATTATAGCATTTTAATATCCTAGCATCCCCTAATCAATAGCTTCAAGCACTATTTGAAGAAACTATAACGATAACAGAAGTTCTATTCTAAATAGCTTTTACCCCCCTAAAGTACGGTAAAAGAAACAATAGAACTCAGAAATTTATTTGACAACACTTTTGACTAGCATATCCTACACATAAACGAAAATGTAGAAACACAAAAGTTAAATCCACCTAAGGTACAACATTGGTAATTTCCTGAAAAAGTATAGAACATAGAAATTCATTTGACGCTGCTCTGAACTAGTATATACCTCAAAATAGAATGAAAAATGTAATATTTAAATATTGAAACTCAACGTATAATCCAAGTTGGCAAATAAAAATATCTCACGTAGTAAAATAAATCAACAAAAGAGCTCAAAAGTCTACATAAAATGAACACTACAGTGAGGGAACCTGAGAGCGATAGTTTCCCAAATATTTTATGGTTGGGTCGATTGAAATAAAAGGGCCCACTTTCCACCGTCCTCACTCCCCCTACTGTGCGAAACCACCCTCGTGATGCCATGCACAGCCCACTGCCGCCTCCCTTTTTCTTTTTTTTTTCTCACTGCTGCACAACACCTCTTTGCCACTGTAATCAACACCACGGCCATCACCTACCATCTTTCTCCACCTACAATTGCAGCCATTTCCACCACGAAGCAGCGACAACGGTCATCACGCTGCTTTCTCTCCGCTTGCTCTCTGCGTGTCTGCCCTTCACCTTCGCTCGCCCCACACTCCCTCCTGTCCTCCAATCTCTGCAACTCTCCCATCCCACCACTGTGTTTTCCCTCTCTAAAAAGAAACCACTTAACAAAAACCCAATATTAAGATAGCTCCTCATGTCTCTCTCTAAACGTCCATATGAACGTCCCCCCTTCTCGCTTTAATAATAATAAAAAAAAAAAAAAATGAAAGAAAAAAAGGAAAAAGAAAGAAAGAAATGACTCAAAGGGACAAAAAACATAGAAAGAAAATGTGACAGTCCAATTAAGCAACAGCAGGCACTTAATTCAGTAAAAGACTCAAAGCCCAGAATTCATCGTACAAAAACAAGGAATCAAAATCTGCACCAGCATTACTCAAATAGTGCACTCCAACATCGCTCTAGGGCACTCCATTTAATCCTTATTTCCATCAACGCCCTATTATAAAATGCCTAATTTCATTTACAGCAAGTTCAGCAGCTATGAACAAGTTAAATGATAATCCAAACAACAAATACCAAGTAAAATGATGATGAGG